TCTTCGGTGCTCAACTTTCTTTATAGTCCAACTCTAATATCCATACATGACCACTGGAAAAACCATAGCTTTGACTGGACAGACCTTTGTTGGCAAAGTGTCTCTTGTTTTTAATATGCTGTCTATGTTGGTCATAACTTTTCTTCCAAGGAGCAAGCGTCTTTTAATTTCATGGCTGCAGTCACCATCTACAGTGATTTTGGAGCCCCCAAAATAAAGTCAGCCACTGTTTCCCCATCTATTTGCCATGAAGTGATGGGACCGGATGCCATGATCTTCATCTTTTGAATGTTGAACTTTAAGCCAACTTTTCCACTCTCCTCTTTCACTTTCATCAAGAGGCTCTTTAGTTCCTCTTCACTTTCTGCCATAAGGGTGGTGTCATCTGCATATCTGAGGTTATTGATATTTCTCCCGGCAATCTTGATTCCAGCCTGTGCTTCTCCAGCCCAGCGTTTCTCATGATGTACTCTGTATAGAAGTTAAATAAGCAGGGCAACAATACACAGCCTTGATGTACTCCTTTCCCAATTTGGAGCCAGTCTATTGTTCCATGTCTAGTTCTAACTGTAGATTCTTGACCTGCATACAGATTTCTCAAGAGGCAGGTCAGGTGGTCTGGTAATCCCATCTCTTTAAGAATTTTCCATAGTTTGTTGTGATCCTCACAAAGGCTTTGGCATAGTCAATTAAGCAGATGTTCACTGTTTCCATTAATTAATAAATATTTTTTGCTAGGGTGGGGCTTGATCACTATATATCTTAGGTCTGATCTGAAATTTCAGAAAGTAATTTGCTTCCAGTAGATAACTAGCTACTTCATACTATTTCATTCAGCTAAGCAAGCATATTTGTTGTTGTTTAGTCACTCAGTCATGTATGACTCTTTTATGACCCCGTGAACTGTAGCCCACCAGGCTCCTCTGTCCATGGGATTCTCCAGGCAAGAATACTGGAGTGGGTTGCCATTTCCTTCTCCAGGGGATCTTCCCCACCAGGGGATCAAACATGTATCGGCAGGCAGGTTCCTTACCACTGAGCCATTCAGGGAAGCCCAACCAAGCACATATTGGGTTTTTTGTTTTTCTTTTTTAAATATTTGTGAGACACAGTATTAGTCCTGGACCATCAGAAATTAACAGATACTCAGTTCCTGTTTTCAAGGAGCTGGTGATTTCAATCCACCTGACAGATGAGACCTCATATGTTCTTTGAGATCTCTGAAAGAAAAGACCTCACCACACTATTGGCTACTGTCACACTTAATTCTTAGTTCTCTGAGCTATTTGTGTGTGTGTGTGTGTGCTTCCAATTCCTTGAGAATCAATGCATCTCCATTTCCTCTTATTCCAGGTGTCAGAAGAGAGAAAGAACATTTGGTCACCATTTGGTCACCATTCTTTCCATAATAAGCCTTCATTCCCTGAGAGTTATTGAGTCATACCTCTGTTTTCTCTTTCTAGATTAAATAATTCCAGTCCCTTTAACCTTTTCTCAGAGGTCCTATTTGCCAGCCTTCAGCTTAATCATTTTCACTATTCCCCTCTGTAGTCTCTCCAAGTTTTCTGCATTAAAATTTGTTGCTTTGCCATTGAGATGCCTCTAAGAGTCTTATTCTTTCACCTAAACCAAGACAAAAGAAAAGCAGCGCCCCACCCTGCCCCCAGTCAAAGTAAGAGAATATATAGAAACAGATTTCTCCTTTGAAGTTCTCATGTAAGATACTCACATGCTGAAAGCAAATTAGTACTTACTGTCACCAACATTAAGGAGAAAGGGCCAAGACGAGAAGAATTTCTAAATAGTGCCAACCATTGTGCTTGGCAATTACCTAAATTACTTTTAAGCAGATAAGGCTATTAACAGCAAACTTGAAGTTTGCTCTAGTTACATCTGAAGTTCTCAGACAGGTGCTACTAAAATCACTGTTAATGAGATCAAACAGGAGTTTTTGATTCTGTATAATACCCCTGGCTGCTGAGCAGACTGTCCAGAGATGACTATGTTATTTATAGGCAGCAACTCTGGTGAATCCTGGCAAACTGCGTAAGAGTCATCTTTGTATTCTGTCAATCAATAGCAATTAGTATTTCCTGAGCTGAGTCACAGACATAGAGAACAGACTCATGGACATGGTGGGGGGTAGGAAGGAGAGGGTGGAATATATGGAGAGTAACATGGAAACATATATTATCATATGTAAAATAGATAGCCAATGGGAATCTGCTGTGTGACTCAAGGAATTCAAACTGGGGCTCTGTAACCACCTAGAGGGGTGGGGTGGGGAGGGAGGGAGGAGAGAAGTCCAAGAGGGAGGGGACATATGTGTGCCTATGGTTGGTTCATGTTTATGTTTGCCAGAAACCAACACAATACTGTAAAGCAGTTATCCCTCAATTAAAAATAAATAAAAGATATATTTCCTGAGCTGAGAATGCAGGAATTCTGCATGACTTTTAAGAACTGATGTATATGGTCTGATTAAATATCTAATCATTGTATGGTACCAATACATGCTGAAAGAGGGCAGACATGAAAACCAGAGTTCTAAGCAAGATGACTTACCAGAAATCTTTTTCCCAAGATCCCTCCCTGCCTTTTTCTCTTGAGATGTACCTGCCCGCTGTGAGCCAGCAGTGTGACTCTACACATACACACACACACACACACACACACACACACACACACACACACACACACACAGAGTTAGGATTCTACTGACAGATTTCCAAATCCTTTCATAAAGTTGGGAAAACTCTTTCTGGATAATATTCTACCTTTCCACCTGTTCTGTTTCGGGGACATCTTTGTTTTGGAACCCCTGTTTAGACAAAAAATATTTTCCTATCTGGAAAAGTTAAAAGTATACAATTAGGGTGAAAACAGTTGGTTAGATGTCAGGAAGTGGAGAGAGAGAAACTACTGGCTCCTCTGGGCTGGTTCTGGGAAACCAGGAATTAGTGTTCATCTAGTTTATCTTCTGAAGCTTGTGTGGCTATGGTGAGACCCTATCTAGCCAAGAACCAGCAAGACTGAGAGAGGTCTATCACTAGCAGCCATGGGAAAACCAGCTACATACTAAAAGTATCTCTTTCCCGAGTTCTCTAATAACAGAACAAATTCATGATTTGGTATGGAATTTTTCCAGGGAGGTGTAGTCCCAAAGACAGTTCAGTCTATCAAACCATAACCTAAATCCTAAGACTTAAAACTGATACAGTGACCCTTAAGTAATCAGCAATTAAGATGGTCAAGAGCTTTTAACCACAGTATCTTAACAAGGAGCATGGTCCTGGGTGAGGGCACAGAGTTTGCTAAGCCATTTAATTATCGGTGTGGATCCATTATATTCCTCCTACTCTCACTGGCTTTTCACACCCAAGCATACACCCCAAGAGTCTGTCCACCTGAGTGAAGGCAAGGCGTAGGTATAAAAACACCATTGGTGAGCACATGCACAATTGAGCTCCAGGAGCTCTGAAACCAGGGCGATTAAACCTGTAGCATATTAAATAGTTCTGGGTGAGAAATAATGTAATAACCACTATTTTAGAAAGGCAAGTTTCCAGTTGTGAAGTGAACTACAAATCAGCCCTGATTTCATTTACTTCATAGTAAAGATCATCTCATAAATTCTTACCAAGTGGTAAGAAAGTGAAATTAGGGCACTGATGTTGATGTGTGTTGCCATGTAACTCTCTAGTGGTTACGGCAAGTGGCCAGGAATTCTGGGTGAATAAATCACTAGTAGACACAACTCAGTTCTCTCTCTCTTTATTTAAATATGTACGTCAGAGGTTTACACCAAATCATTTCTGCTGCTGCTGCTGCTAAGTCGCCTCAGTCATGTCCGACTCTGTGCGACCCCATAGACGGCAGCCCACCAGGCTCCCCCATCCCTGGGATTCTCCAGGCAAGAACACTGCAGTGGGTTGCCATTTCCTTCTCCAAGGCATGCAAGTGAAAAGTGAAAGTGAAGTCGCTCAGTCGTGTCCAAACCATTTCTAGGAAAGAGCAATTTGTACTACCCCACTATAATTCATTGCACTTTGGGAAGCAATCTTATCCCATTTGAATGTGAGAAATAATATCACCCATACTGAACACTGGCATTTTTACATTGGGAGGGTTAAAAGAAAATAAACATTAGAAAGAGTGAAAATAAAAGGAAAGTAACGGGAAGGGGAGAACGACAAGAAGTATAAAAAAGAAAAAAAGATTTGTGAATTTTAAACACATTTATCTATAACAAGTAAGTGACATTTTGAGCAAAGCTTTTCTGAATCTGAAAAAATAAAATTCCTGCTGACTTTCAAAAGCCAACCCTTTGAGTCATTCTTTAAAAAAAAAAAAAGATAGCCAGCAGATTAAAAGAACTCCTTTTATAAAAATCAAATGAACCTCTAACAAAGTTTGTTTGGGACATGAATAAATCATCTGGTCATGAATTATTCATTATTATCAAGAAACAAGCTGGAGATTCCAGGAACTGGGTTTGGGGAGGTGCTGAAATCAGGGAGTGAGCAAGTTCACTGTCTCATACCTACTATGGGAAGGGAAAGGGCAGACCATGGGCACAGACAGTGATGCTGACCATTCTAGACCCTCCTTCAGGTTTCAGGGGACACTCTGGCAGTCTTAACACTCAGAGAATAAAGCAAATAGACTTTAATCCATATCTTACTTTAGAAAAATGCATGTACTCGGTAATAGATATTAAGACTTCTTTTCTTTTTTGAGCATTGGTACTTTTTTTTTTTTTTGAATGCATGACATACATGTGGAATAAGAGCTCTGTGCAAAAGACAGCAGAAGTTAAAAGCTTGCATTTAAGGGAGATGACTAGAAAATTCCTTAACGATACACTGGTAAGAGTAGTCTGACCTACTCATTCATGGCTTTGGGGATTGGATTTTTTTTTTCAACTGGGGTGGGAGAGGGAAGAAAAAAAGGGAGTCTCTCAGATCTAATCAACTAATCAGCTTATATATGTGTTTCAGGTCCAAACTGCTTTGCAGGAACGACAATCATTCCAGCTGGCATTGAAGTGAAAGTGGATGAATGTAACATCTGTCACTGTCACAACGGGGACTGGTGGAAGCCTGCTCAGTGTTCAAAACGTGAATGCCAAGGCAAGCAAACTGTGTAGAGCCGAGTCCCACCCGACGACGGGCTCTTAGGAGACGAGGCTGTGACTTCCACACGGCACATGGTCAAAACAAGACAAAACAAACAAACTCTTGCCAGCTACAACAGGGTCACCAGCAAAAAACCTTTTAGGGTTGACAAAAGTGAATATTTTACTAAGAGGAAATTTCTCTCTTTCTTTCTTGCTATACAAAATATACATAGTATACAGCTATTGAAACCGCTTTTGTAATTATCCTTGCTTGATGGTGACTTGACCACTGGATTTCTGGAGCAAAAAGAAAGAAATAGCCTTGAACAGGCTTCTTCTCTGGTGACACCTCTGGCCTGCCAGCTCACCATCTACCGACTTACTCCACTTTTAGTCTCTGTAAACACGGCATTTTTCTCTTGCGGTAATTCCTGTTTTCTTCTTTAGAGTCTAAGGGGCCAGATTTAACTGCACAGGAAGGTTTTGAGTTGTGTCAAACTAGCTTCCAAAAACCAGTGTCAGGGTAAGGACCCTTCCTGATTAGGAAGATGCAAAACATTCAGCCAATCACTCCCCTTGAGTGAATCTTGCCCTGCATGGGAGAAGAGAGAGGTGCGCCGAGAGGGTTAACTGCTGGGCTGGGTGGGGAAGTGGTGCTCCATGCATTATGCGAGGGCTCACAATTTGATTCTTACAAACCACACATTTCATTCACAAAACCTTGAAACTGCCAATCAAAAACTAATATGTGACGAATACCATGAGCTTGACTAAAGAATCCAAAGGGAGACAGGTATCCAAAACTGCGACATTAGACACTAGGCTTTCTCATGATGTTGAATTTAAGTTCAGCTTATAACAAAACACACTCTAAACCCACTCTGTCACCTGGCATGATAAATACCAGAACCAGGGTGAGCAGCCCCACTGTGAATCTGAAGTCTTCTGAACACTCCTAGCTCTTGAGTTCAGATCTGGCTGAAATCCAGTACTTGCACACAGGCAGTTTTTCTGGTTCGGGACTATGTTTGCCATGTTATACTAATGACCACTCAGCCCTCTGGCTAAAACACAGATTCAGGACACTCTTTCCACCTTAAGTGCTGATTTAAATTAAAGATTAGGGTAGAGTGGGTCTTGCACAATACAATTCCATTTGTTGAACATTTTTTTAAATGTATATATTAGATACTAAGCAATTAAAGTGAACCTTTGAAGAGTCTCAAGGTTGCCCTGGTAATGCTGCTAGTATAGTAACAGGAAAAATAAAATAAAAATAAAACACACAGGGTATCTGATGCCACCTCGATTCAAGTGCAAACGTAGCAGTTCTGAAACCACACAGCATAGCTAGTCGCTTACTTCACTCTCCTGTGTTGAAAACCCTGGCACAGACCTGGTAGGGTCCTTGAGGAACCTTGAAGGTTATCTTCATTATTGATGTGCTGTCCTCTTCTGCTCCCACCCCACCTGGGCTTGGCCATAACTCCAGCGGAGTGTTGCCTTCCTGGGCAAGGTTTCTCGACCTCAGCACTATTGACATTTGGGGCCAGACAATTAATTGTCACTGGGAGCTGTCCTGTGCATTTTTTACGATGTTGAGCAGCATTCTTGTCTTCTATCCACTCAATGCCAAGAGCAGCGGCCCTAATTGTCATAACAGAATGTCTCTGAACATTGCCAAATGTCCCCAAGGTGTATGGGAGGGGGCAGAATTTCACCTGGTTGAGAACCAGTGGTCTAGAGTAATCAGTAAAGAGTGGTTTTCTGCCAGGCAAGATCTGGCTGCGGCTGTGGCTCTGGGGAGCCTCCGAGCCCTTGGGGACAGGCACGATCAGAAGCCCTGAGATCCAAAGGGAGTGAGGCCCCACCACCACACGGTCACAGGTCTGCCCTCCAGGCATACATCTCTTTAGTCTCACCCACTGGGTTTTCCTTTAAAATTGCCAAGCCTATCCTCCCTGGAAGCACCTCCCATCATCAAGAAAGAACTGTCATTTCCAGAATTAATGTGTTGACAAGTTGGACCTGACACTTCTCACACACACTGCACTTGTGTTATGATACAAATAGCCAGGCCAGCATCATAGGAGGGAGCGCATCAAGCCGCCTTTCCTTAGAACACCAATTTGCACCAAGGTTGGTGCTTTTCCATTACCACCCTGGAAACATCATATAGACAGTCATGAATCATTCATGAACAATTCTGCATGATTTATTCCCACACTCCGGAGTAAAGGCAGTACTCCACACTTCAGTGTATGTCTAGACAGAGATGTATTATAGAGCTTTCTTTGCCCTGAGGTTGCCTATTGCCAGCTTCAAAAATCTACACTCTTGGAAAGAAAGAATAATAATAAATGAGAGGAATAAGGTTTGAAACCCAGAAACATCATTAATAGAGCCATGTAGCATAGTACCCCATCTATTATTAAGGAGTTACTCTGTCCTTTTTAGAAAACAGAAGGAAAGAGCAACAGGGAAGCCAGGGTACAGGCATTTTGCATCAAAGTCTTGGCTCAGTGATAGTCACTGCAAGAATTTTCAAGAATGGAGTATGATACCCATAAAGAAACCCTCTTCAGAGAGCTTGCAGAATGAAGGCTGCTCAGCTGCCTGTTACCAGCCAGAGAGAGGGATTATTTTGCTGTTCTTGGATTTTTCTTTTCTCACAGTGTCTCACTACAAGATGTTTCCTTTAAGACTTTGTAACACTGACATTTCCACTCCCCCCCCCTCCTTTAGGGAGAGATGAACCTATACTGTGACAGAATTTCTCATCTACTGATGAATACTTTACAACTTCCGTCTACCCAGGTCATTGAGAAATTCTCTCCAAACTCTGAACAGCAGATTTCTGGCTTCATCTGCTGCTTCCTAATTTTCTTTTTCCTCTTGAAAGCTTTGTTTGCAGCCGCTCTGTCACCTCGATTCTCCTACATCTCCTCTGCCTTTGGTTCTCGGCTTTAACTAGAGCTCTGTTTAAATAAGGGATCAACAACCTGTTTGTCAGCTGATGCCTGTTAAAAGATGATTCAGTTTCTAAAATCTTTGAAAAATGGCGTGCCTGAAAACTAGTGAGAAAAAAAAAAACTAAACACTCAACTGTAAAAAGGGGATTCTAGCAACAATATTTGATGTGTAAAATAATATATTATTAAAAAACTATTTTGTTAAATATAAAGTGTGTTAACCAGCAAACATCGTTCGTGGTATGTTTTCCTTCCTAAGTTTCTCCCTTCTCCCTACTCTCATCATTTAAAGACTGATTCTCAGTGACGTCTGTCATTTGAGAATACATGTGTCATTAGAGCTATATTCAATTAGAATTAAACATCAGCTTTAGCATTTGTCTGTATACATTTTCATTTTTCATAACATAAGCCTGACTTAGGGATCAGAGAGAACTCAAACCAGCAGTGAGAGGGTAAGTGATTGGCAAATATTTCCCCTGTTCATATCCAAGCACGTTACTAATGATAATCTATAATTATTGAATGCTTGCTCTGTGGCAGGCCCTGCACTGTGCACTGACCCTTTTCCATTCAATCCACATAGCACAGCTATGAGGGAGGCACTCTTATTGTCCCTGCTTTGCTATTGAGGAAACCAGAATACAAGGAGATTAAATGCTCTACCCAAGGTCACAGGACCCTAAGTGGCAAAGCAGAAATTTTTTTACTGTGAAAGTTTTCAATCATATCAATCATATGCAAAAAAAAAAAAAAATGAAAACATTGTATAAAGAACCTCCATTTACCCATTGCTCAGATGCAACATTTCTCAAGATTTTGCATCATGCTTTATCTATATTTTTCCCCAGGAGTATCTTAAAGCAAGTATCAGACATATCATTTCATCCCTATATCCCTTCCTCAAAGAGAGTAATCATCTCTTTGAAAAAGGGAGAGCTTTTTTTTTAACCAAACATAACAAAGATTAGTATTATTATCACTATCTAATTTACATTAAAATTTCTTAGATTTTTCTAAAATACAGGGGAATGTGGGGTGTTTGCATGATCAAAACCAAGTCATCTGTAACACTGCATTTGGTTTTTTTGTCTCCTAAATCCACAGAAGGGATGTGAACTCTGCCAACTGACATACTCCTGGGTCTGTTGTTGTTATTAGAGAGTTTGCTTTGGAGAAAATTACTTTTTTAATGTCCATGTTAAACTCCCTCCTACACGCCGAGCAGAGCAAGCAGCAAGCAAAAGCCTTTCTACAATTGATCTCCAAGGGGCAACAAAGAGCCCCAAATCAAGAATTACAGCTGATGACCAGCATGCAGAGGACACTGCCTTTTATATATGTGCAAGCTTTCCTTGAGGAGTAACAGCAAACTGTTATTTTCCTTCTCCTCGATTCAAACATAGTGCCTAACACAAAGTAAAGCGGAACAATGCTCCATAAATTGCCATCATCCACTGCATTGTTGGAGGAAGAAAGAAAACAGCCAAACCATTAGAAAGCAGCAGCATGGTGTCCCCCTATACATGGGTACACACCTGAGCACCACCACCATGTTCTTAAAACATGATGAGACGATCACACTTTTCAGTTTCCCATCTGTTCAACTCGCTGCTCCCTATGTCCCTTGCAAAGAATTGTTTACAGTTCATTTCTGATTCAGGATTCATGGAAGGGCACTTCAAAGCATAAGAGAGAAAGCTATGAACTGTGACAGAGTCCTGGGTTTGTTATTTCAGGGTTTATGTTGGGCACATTACTTAAAAAAAAAGAAGAAGAAGAAAGGTTGCTGTTGTTTAGTCGCTCAGTTGTGACCGACTCTTCGTGACCCCATGGACTGCAGCAGGCCAGGTTTCCCTGACCTTCACTATCTCCTGGAGTTTGCTCAAACTCATGTCCATTGAGTTGATGATGCCATCCAGCCATCTCATCCTTTGTCACCCCTTTCTCTTCTGGCCTTCAATCTTCCCCAGGAACAGGGTTTTTTCCAATGAGTCGGCTCTTCACATCAGGTGGCCAAAGTATTGGAGCTTCACCATCAATCCTTCCAATGAATGT